CCAGGTTTATGGACAAGATCATTTTTCACTTTAAATTCATATAAGACTTCATATAAGTTTAAAGGTATTTTTAAACTCTGTTCACATTTATTTCATAGATGCATGTTTGAGTCCATATTCCAAGCTGCTGCTGACCTCCCCGGCACAGGTCCTGAACCTGGTGGCAGAGGAGAAGGGAATTCTTCAGGCTCAGCTTAGCCAGGAAGAGGACGCTGAAGGGTGCTTCATCCAGAGCGCCCTTTGTCTTTTACAGGTAAAGCTACGTGCACATCTTTGGCAACGAAGACATAACAACATAGACATAAATAATGCAATAGACAAAATAAAATGAAATAAGCGCATTTAATTTGTATGAATAAAAGTTTTTTTGCTATGCCGCTAAATCCGTTTTCTCTTGGGTGTTTTGTTTGTTTGTTTTGTCTAAGGAAGCCAAATAAGCAGTTAACTGATGATGTCTTTATCTGTATGTGTTTGTGATTAGGAGCAAGAGGAGAAGCTTCTGGAGCAGCAGAAGGAGAATGCAGACAGCCTCGACTTGTCCTCTCTGACTATGAAAGAACCTTCTTCTCCTGTGGAAGAAGGGGTGACTAACATCAGCAGTGCCAAGGTGAGTCTAAACCTTCTTTACCCTTTTTCACATTGTTGTATCTCTGGTGATGGGATCAAATGTATCCTATTTGCGTGCTCCTGGTTATGGTTTTTTATCGCCTCTGTCTTGTTTAATCTTTAGCCCGTGCTGCAGTACGCCTCAGCATTTGATGACGAGGTGGCAGAGTTTCCGGAAGATGCTGATGCAGAGCTGCCAGGCTTTCCCGAAGCGATTCTAGAGAGTGTGCTGGAGGAGCCTCCTGCAGCTACAGGGGATTCCACCTCAGAGCTCCAGCTTGAAGAGGAGAGCCCGGCCATCCAGGCAGAGTCAGGCCGGCCCTCAGCCAGTGTGGTGCCTGGACCTTATTACTATTTCTACCAAGGTTGGTGATCCTCTGCTCCACCCATCTACCCAGGATAAAATTCCTGCCGTAATATGTAAAATTTCCTCATCCCCATTTTTTTCCTGCTTTCCATTTTTCTCCATCAAGCTGACGACTGCCAGCAGATGTTCCTGCATCCCGTGAACGTGCGCTGCCTGCTACGTGAATACGGCAGCTTGGAGGCCAGTCCTGAATCCATCACCGCCACAGTGGTGGAGATAGTGGGGCAGACAGTCACAGAGGTCAGCAAACAAAAGACTGACGTTCTGTTGTTTAATGTAGTTTTAATTTAAGTCAACACATTTAGTTTATTTATCCCCCTTTCCTTCTTGCAGGAGATCCGCCGCCGGCATCGCTATCTGGCTCATCTGCCACTCACGTGCGAGTTCAGCATCTGTGAGCTAGCACTGCAACCACCAGTCCTGTCCCAGGAAACTCTGGACATGTTTGCAGGTTAGAACACTTAAAACATTTTTTTTTTTAAGGGTTTTACTGTAAAGGTTTCTCAGATGAAATAAATCATCCTTTAAACCTTTAGATGACTTGGAGAAAAGAAAACGCCTGAGGCAGAAGAAGGCGAGAGATGAGAAACGCAGAGAGAAGCGAATTGAGATTGAGGAGAACAAGAAGCAGGGTAAATGTAAGTATACCTGAAAATTACACCTTTTATATACCTCATATTTTGAAATTGAGGTCCATAGTACTTGCATTTTCATTCCCCAGATCCTGAGGTGCATATTGGACTGGAGAACCTTCAGCATTTCCCAGCATTCGGCTCTCCACCTCACAACAGCAGCCCCCCGATCCAGCCTGACTTCACCTTTGCGCCTCCTTCGCCCCTCAGCAGCAGCCCTTCCTCTGGTAAGATCACCCCTTCCATCTGCCATTTTTTGATAAGAGTTTCCTCCTGTCAGCTGCCTGTGTGGCTTTTGGTGATAAACGCCATGACGCACATAAATTTTTTTTCTTTTTCTTTTTTTTAAACGTCTGTCAATTCAGATGGAATGAAATTCCCAAGTCTGAATACGCCGTCACCTGTCGTGGGTAGTGTGGAGGATGAGTCCCACTGCATGTCCTTTGCACAGGTGTGTGTGGGAACAGTATTCTATGTGACTTAAGTGGTTGGCATAGCTCAGCAGTGCTTTAATAAGACTGTTTCCTGTGTAGATGCTAAGAGATGGGAAAGCAAGAGCTGATGCTGGGCCCAGGATCACTCCAAAGAAAGGTAATGCAGGAGTGTAGATGTTATGGTGCCTTGTTTGTTACAGTTAAGCTGTAAATGTGAATAATGTGAAATCTCACAGTTAAAATGCCAACTCCTGTTAAAATGAAATTGATTAGAGGTGCCTGGTTGGCTCGTGATAGTAGCTACAGCAGTAAGCTTGTATTTATGGGGTGCAGTTTTAGTCTGCTTTATAAACTGATAATACTTGAGCAAAGAGCCAGATAATGTACCCATGTTGTCATCAAAGGGTTTGTCTGCCTACATCCGCTTACAAGGTGGAATAATAGAGTCACACAGTTTTTGCTACTTTTATTTAAACGCAACTTGTCATAGGAGTAAAATCTGATATATTGAACCTTGGCTCAGAATAAAACCCCAGCCTCATCATTTCTGTTTGTGCTTCCTGTCTTTGTGGTTATATCAGTTGTTACAAATTGCACGTACCGAGTGGGTGAAAATAAGCAAAGCTTTTTGTGTTATTGTGCATTTCTGGTAAAACCAGTTTTTGGAACTGCAACACCCAGAGGTTTCCTGAACTCAATGTTGTGCCTTGTACCATGCAGATAAGCTGCTCGCTCCCCCAGCAGCGGACAGCGATGGCGAGAGCGACGGCTCAGACCGTGTCCCAGTGCCCAACTTTCAGAACTCCTTCAGTCAGGCTTTAGGGAAGGCACTTATGCAGTTGGACAGTGGTCCAGTTTCTTCTCAACAACCTGTGGTTGAACCAGGTCAGGAACCTCTGATCCCTCACATCTACTTAGCTGAAGCCTGATATTTCTGACTAGACTCATTGTTTGTTCAGAGACGATCACACGCTCACTCCCGTCTGGGACTTTTTCTCTTTCAGATGAAAAAGGAGGAAAAAAGAAGAAGAAAAAGCAGAAGCTTCTGTTCAGCACATCCATGGTTCACACAAAGTAGACAACACTGAAGTTCATTTAATCATATTGTTTCTCCCCCACTGCTTGTGTTTTCAGTTTCACGCAGATCTTTCTGGAACTATAAGCTATGGAAAAGGATTTGAGTTCATGCTGCTTCAAACATTGTTCCACTGGCTTCATCACCTGTTCGAGCTGTTTGACTTTCCATCGGTTTAACTTGCATTTCTGTTGTACAACAAGGCCAAAGCTTTGCACCATCATGCTCGTGTCACAATGAAAGCCTTATGAGTCAATTTAAGTTAACATTCTAAGTATTACACATGCTTCAGGCTTATGTAAGTTCCATGTACTTGAGTGCATCATGGGGTCTATTGTAGGAAACTGCCCCATAGTGTTGCGTCTTTGTCCTTGTTCATGGCATTAACATGTGTTTTTGGTGATCCAATCACAAGTTGGCTGCCTGAGTATGTGTGTTCACACATGCGGTGCTAAGAGTGCAACGTGTACCCAAGATGTATGCATGTGCAAGCCATTAGACCCATTACTAATATAGACAGGGTAATTTGAGGGTGCTTCATACTAGAATAGCAGTCAGCCAGCTGCAGGTACGTTACACCTTTAAAACTTTCCAGGATACTCGGCACCTACACATTATCAGTCTGGAACTTAAATACAGAAGGCAGCAAGTGAGTAAATCTTTCAGTGTTTATCACAGGTCAGTCTTGGGCTAGCTCTTCATATGTATAGATTTGTTGGATTGCCAGAGTCAAAGCTCTAGTATTTGGTAATGCCAACATTATGCCTACACATTAAGTTCTAATGTCAGGAAGTGAAAACACAGTATTGTGTAAAAGATATTAGTTCTGTAGGTTCAACAGGACTCTTGATATATTCTGCCTGGATAAACGTGAATAGCACTTTTCTTGTCATTCAGTTTCTTCTTAATTTCATCTTCTGTTGTAGGATGTTTACTCACTTTTAACATTATTTCCCCAACTTTTATTTCAGTGTTGGAAATGTGTGAAGTTAGAGAATTACTGGCTTAATGAGTGCTGGTGAAATGAGAACAAGTGGATTTGATTTTTTCTTTTTTTTTTTTCCCGAGGGTTCTTTAATTCACCTTTAATTTTGTCCAAGTTTATAGACTGGTAAGCATAACTAGTCTGTTGCAAATAATAATAAAAAGATGCACAATCAAAGAACTGGTTGTTTGCTACACTTCTTTACCCCTGTCTGGCAAAGTGAAACTCTGAAGGTGACTATCAAATTAGGTCAGTTCACACGATCTTATTAACGCAGCACCTTTTTTCTCCACAAGAGGGCAGTCTTAGTCCACCTGATCTGTGTAATAAAATTTAAGTTATTTCAGACACTGTTTTTGTATACTGACTGCAGTCAAAGCTTGGTTAAGAATAGTCTGAGATCAAATAAATGCATAATGCATCTGAAGTTCATGAATTATGCAGATTTCTTTATTCAAACAGGTGTCGCCATTCAAACAGAAAATAACCAGTCAGCTTTTTAAAACAAACAAACAAACTGATGGTTTGTGCTTTTAAACATGGGAACGGGTAATTAATGCCATAAAGTTGGGATGGAATAATATTTGCCCGAGCACATCCTATACTCAGGTTCGTATCCAGTTAAGTTATCCACATTCATCCCGGAAGTTTAAGTAATGCATATATATGTGTGTGTATGTGTGTATGTGTGTATGTATGTATGCGTTACACCTGATGAGTTGTGCTATATAGCAAAATGATTCCTTAGTGTTTGTATACTGTATGCACAAACTGTCATTGTCTCTTACTGGAACGACACAAGTTTATGAAGCAAAATCCTATTTTATGTTTTAGTTGCACTTTATTTTGAAAGCAATAGCCGGAAGTGCTATGTGGAGCTGGATTGTGCGGAAAGTACTCAGGCGGCTAGTTGCCTGTCTAGTCTATCCCTGTCAACAATACTGCAACCTGAGACGGGATAGCCAGCCAGCCAGTTGGCTAGCTAAGTAAACCAGCTAAGTTAGCTGCTCTGCTAACCAACTGTCACGACTCGTAATTTTTCCCTTAAGTTGGCGGGATACACTGTGTTAGAAGTTGTTTCGACAAGCGTGGAGGGAAAGCTGACTTTATGGTTTGGTAAGTTGTCTGCAGTTGGGATCAAACAGGCAGCGAAAGACAGGTTCAGACAGTGTTTCCATTTTGTGAGTCCAGCTTCTTGAGTTGTTAGCTTACGGTTGCAAGCCAGCGAGCTGCTTATGCGTTTGTCTTCCCTCTTGTTTGAAGTCTGTGGGAATTCCCAAACAGCTGAATGCAACACGCTCGTTCAATGCGTCTGCACACTTCTGTTTTTTCCCCGTTCTCCTTCTGTACGTTAAATGTGCCTCCCTGCTGTTGGGAGCAAGCCAACTCTTATCTGTCGGTAAACTGGACCGGGCACTGTCGAGGTAATTTAGGTGAGCAGACACGACATGAGGAAGCATTAACACTTGTTGCTGAGATGGAAAACTACAAAACTTAGAAAGCTCATTTATTAGCATTGTTGTTTAGATTTAGTTGTATCATTGTGTGTGTGTGTAAGTGGTTGGGATGCTTGGTTTTCTGTAGCATCCAGTAGGTCCACATTAAATCTGGGTTATGGTTTACTGTGATATAAAACTGCTTCACTGTTGTAAGTTGCTTTTAAATGTCAAGATCACCTAAAAACCTGAGCCTACTACATTATGTCCATAATAATACAGCAAAATATTACAGCCAGGCTAAACTCAGTCTAAAGTTTTCTTAGAGAACAGTATCGCATATTTCACTGTTAAAGTCCAGTGAAAGCCTGTGGATTGTGATGTATATTTTATGTGACTTTACCATAGGTGAGAACTAAATTGCGGTAATGCTCATCTTCTTTTAGTTGTTCTGTTGTCTGCATAAGGAAATTTCCTCTGCATAACTGGCTTAGCCGGGTTATTGACTCATTGTCTTTAAAAAGTTAAAGACAGTAAGTGAGTCAGGGCTAAAACAAAACAAAATGCCTCCATGCCCTGTGCCCTACTGTCCTGCACGTATACTCTGAAATATGTCTCTAACATTCGCAGGATCTCTTCAAAGTTGACTATTTAACATCTCCGGCTTGAAGAAATGCTCTTTTCAATTGTTATGTGAGGCTTGAAGTAATGAGTCGGCGTAGGATACTCGGTGGTGTGTCTAAGCCTATATAAGGCAGACGGCTCCTTAATCTCCGCTGTGCTGCTCGTCCCACCATCACAGTGGATGTTTGGCATTCCATCTCAGCGAAGGTGTTTCCTGCCACTATCTAAAGTTCACGTTTTCAGCATTTTCAACAGTCTCTGTTAGTCAAGCGCAAGCCTTCGTGGCTCTGCTTCCTTGTCTGTCCAGTTTTTATGTTTGTATATATTTTTTTCTTTTTCTTTTATGAATCATGGACTTGCCCACTGAGTATTTGGAGCTTATCAGCTGATGTGCTTGATAAGACGCACAACGACAGGGGCGATCATGTAAAGACGTGACTGGCACAGAAAAGGACACCAAACAGCAATGTTTATACTTCCAACATTTGCTGATTGAAGGCATTTAGATGCAGTAGTGTGAGGACTGCATTGGCGATGGCGTGCTTGTACTGATCGAGGACATAATGCAAATGTAAGAACAGGAAATAACAAGCATATACGAGAGCAGAGTTAATGACCTTTGTTGTGCACTAAATATATATGGGTGTGCCTGTGTTTACTGAAGTCTGTGTCAGTGAAAACATATCATCTATTTGCTGCTTTTTGAAGGCGTGAGAACACCACAGCAACGCATTTGGACCGCCCTGTTGTATCCCTGCTGTGATTTCTCTACCGTAGCCTTCAGCACGACAGTCTTAACTAGTGAACAGCCTGTCTGCTTTGATGACGCAAAGTGTGTATCTCTTAGGCTCCTTCGACTCCTTCCTCCCGTGTGATATGACATCACGACTCGGTTACAAGAGAAGCTCGAGCTCTACAGCAGACGGTTGACATCTGGTCAGGTAGGATATTATATTCAGGATTTTAATCAAGCGTGCCATTATTTATATAAAAAGAAAATTCAGTTTCTGCATAGCAGAGTAACTCAGCACAACACGTGGAAAGCATTATCAGATGTGGAGAAGGAGTTTCTTAAAGGGCCTTTGTGCTCTTTTCTATCTTCATTATTGCTTTATAACAACAGATAAAGCTGTTTACCAGCATATTGTGTCAGAGATTAGTAAGTCGATCTTTAGTCATCTCATATTTATCACTAAACCTCCTTTTGACTGAATAAGCATTTCAAAATAGACATGCAGAAGTTCATTAGGGGTGGAGCTGAATGTTTGATGGATGGTGGTCTGGTGTGAGTTTGTACTGGAATCTCCCATTTACTGCCTAAGAATGATGTGCATGTGTTAAAACCTGAAGCAAAAAACAATGACATTGTACAGTTGTCCGGTTCCTCCTTGTGTCAGTTGCCACATGAAAAGTATGCAGTCCTGATCACCACTACACCAGTATCTCAACTTAGTCACACACATTTTACAAGCTAGTTTGATTGCACTGATAACGACAGCCAAGGAGATAATGTTAATGTCAGTTGTTAGAGTCGACCAACAGGTCAAACAAAGGCAACAATTGTGCAGGTTACAGGTTTTAAGTACAAGTAACATTAAAACATTTAAATCAAAACATTAAGTAGATAAACTAATGTTTAATGTGTCTTAAAATACAATAAAATACATTTAAATAGCCATTGGAAATATGTTGTAACTTTTCTCTGACACGGCTGCTGCTTTTTTCACATCAGGCATCTTCATATGTCACTGCAGAAAAAGCACAGGCACAGTAACATTGCTTTTGGGCTCATGGAAACGTGAATGTTCAATGCATCATAATCACAGTTGATGTTATTAGTCCCACCTGTGCTGCTGTGTGCTAAGCCATTATTAAATGACCTGTGTCGTGTAAATGTACAAGACAAACACTCACCTTTTATTGGTGTCCGCTCTTTTTTTAGCACTAAATATGTCCTGCTTTAACCTAACAATCAATAACCTTTGGCAAAATAATATACATTACTGTGCAAAAGTCTTGAGCCACTCATCAGTTCTTTAGATTTTTCTTGCAATGAGTTAGACTTTATTTTTTTTAAAGCAGTAGTTTTTGTTGAAGGTATTTCAAAGTTCTTCTTTGGACTTTGGCTCCTTTTTCACTAATTTTCAGTCTAGTGCTTTGTATTTTCCAAAGAATGATTTCCTCAATTTTTATTTTTTTTTGCATCAGCACTGACCTATGAATCATTTAAGAGTAACAAAAGCTGCCTGTAACTCATATGAACCAGTTTTGTGTCTTCACATGTCAGACAACTTGACAACAAACCTGATTTTCAGCATGATAGTGATCCCAAACACACCGCTTCTGCGCTTGCACCTTACATGGATAGTGTTCTACTTTGGGTTTTTCTATCAGTCATGCATTGGCCTCCCCAGAGCCCAGACTTCAACATTATTGAAGCAGTGTCAAATCCTCTCGATAGAGAACAGAACAAAATGCAGCCAAAATCCAAAGACGAGCTTTGAATGTCCTTCAAGAAACCTGGAGAACTGTTTCTGAAGATTTATAAGAAATTACAAGAAAGCTTGAGAGATTTCTGCCTGTGTTTTTTTTTGTTGTTGTTGTTGTTGTTTTTTACATTTCAATAAATGACTTCAATTGTTTTCATAGAAAATTTTAAATAAAGATGGCTCAAGACTTTTGAACAATAAACTTGTGATGGAATATCAGGCACTCCCAAGTTTATAGTAACGGCTAGATTGGGGGATTGTTTAAATCCTTACATTTTTAGATTTTGTGCAGGTACTTTTTTGTTGAGGATCTCAGTAAGTAATATTAGTTGTTATTTTCTCTCTGATGGGGTATTTTATCTTTATGCTTAACAAAAGGTGTTGTTCAACAGGATGGCTGCTCAGGTGGAGGTTCAGACTACGGAGGTAGGAAGGACAGTGGCAGGAGGACGACATCACCTGACTCCCCTGACAGACTCCAGCAATAAGAGCCTCATTGACATCCCGTCTGCCAATCAGCCGCAGCTCATCGCAGCTGAACCAAACAAGCCTGCCCCAAGCGCCAAGCCGCGACTTACTCCCAAACCTTTTTCTGTGGAGAAAAATCCTACAATTAAGCCCATACTTGCCCCAAAGCCTCAAACTAAACCCAGACCTGAGTCCACTCGCCTTGCTGGATACAAACCAGAGCTTCCAAGCAATCCAAAACCACAGCAGCCGGTTTCCAGCAGCAAACCCAGACCACTTTTAACCAACCCCAACCGTCCTGCCTCTACCTCCTTTCGATCACCCACTAAGTTGAACACTGGACAGACAACAAAGCTAGTAGCCCAGCCATTTAAACCAGCTCCTCCACATGACACTGGAGGCCCTAGCAGACCCACCCCTCCTCCTGTGCCAGCACAGAGGCAGAAACCCTCAACATCAAGCTTGGCCTACTCAAAGAGCTTTAAAAAACTACCAGCAGCAGAGTGGTCTGGAACCACTAAAAAAGAAGACGAAAAAGGCCACAATGCACAAGGTAAAGTTGGAACCTCCCTTACTAGAGCAAAGTCCATGGGCTTTCTTCTTGATGCAGGGGAAGAAAATGAAGGAAAAGAAAAGGCTCAGCCTGAAACATCTGTGCCTCTGCGACCACATCCTAGAGACTCCAAGCCCAGACCTGTATCAGCCATTTTCCCCGGCAGTACAACGAAGACGGAGACCCCGGTTCCTGCTCCTCGCTCGGCTGGGAGACGACCCCTTTCAGCTGATCTCACTTCCAAATTTGGGTCTATTGGTCTTTCACTGCACCGGAAATTTCCTGAAGGAAATACAGTAGACAACACTCCAGAGGGAAAAGTACTACCACAAAGCAAAGAGGAAGATAAAACCTTTACGAGTACCACACCACAAAGTACTGATGATGTCTGTAATCCTATCCTCTCAGACCAAAGCAACAAAAACAAAGAAGAAATGGCTGCAAAAGAGACCGATGAAGACAAGCGCAGGGTTAGCGTCAAGTCGCGAATAAGTCTTTTGCTCGATTTGCCGTCTTCTCCTGGGGTAGCTGCCACCGGCCATGGTTCAGATCTTCGTTCTCCATTGCAGCCAACCCCTGAAGGTGAACCAGCAGTTGGTGTTAAACAGCTCATCAAGCAGCTGACAGAGGATACAACACCGACTCAGAGCCCTGTCCTTAAACCATCACTGAAGCCCCGTCCCTTGCCCCTTGACCTAACCAAAAGGTAAGAGCTGCTCATACTGTCCATGTGCTTTGCTTTTTGTTCTGTGTTCCACTGTCATGCATGGCTTTTGTCTTGTGTGATGTATGTTCAATAGGTTTTCAGCCGAGAGGTCACCTGACCCTGTTTCCCTCACTGAGGCAGAGGATCGTCATTACATCAGCAAAGATCCTCAGAAGAGGGTAAGAGAGGGCGTGAGCTTTGTAGGAACTGGTTTCTGTTGGGCTCGGTCTGTGTTTAACAGGCAAATGAGGGTAACAATGAGAAACTGTGTCACCGTGTGGTGCTTGGAAAGTTTTTCATATGGTGTTGCTCAGCAGAGTTTGATTTTAGTGTGTTTGTTACCATTTCCTGTTTGATTGAAACCCATGCAATATAACATAAAGACGGAAAATACAAAAGAAGCACAGGAGAATGAGCAGTGTGCAAATAGAGGTGAAGCCTCTGACGCAGTTTAAACTAGAAGTGAAGTAGGGAGACACAAATTCAACTCAGGCTTTAGAGCTATAGGTACTCTATAACTGTATACACAACTGGGAAATTCATCTTTATTTACCTGTTGAAAAGCACTTGCATTTCCAGTGGACCAAAGCGCCTCTGCATTCATGAGGAAATTTCTTTCAAAGAAATAGGACATTACAGTAAAATGAATTGCTGCCATAGACATGCAAAGCTGTGAAACCTAATACTGCTGATACATTAAACATCCCCAGTGACTGCCAGTTATGAAACACACAAAGAAGAGATCAAATAGGAAAGGTCAATGCTGAGAGACTTTGATTACCACCTCTGCACCACACCCAATGAGCCCTACGTAGAAGAGGATGCTGTTTGTGCCCTGCCAATTGTTCTCTTGAACTCCTCTGTGTGCTGTACTGTTGAATGTTCCATTGCCAAGTCCCATTTATTCTGGCTTATGGTTTTATAGCAGTAAATGGTACCTAAATTCACAACTTTTTAAAAAAGCTTTTATTTCCTTCAGAAGATTCCAGCTGAAAGAAATTCTGTAATAGCTTATCAGTTCCATAACTAGGCAGTAAGTTGTGAGCATGAACTTAAGAATTCTCAGTATATCTCTTAATTTTCCCAGGCTGAAGAATCAGCTATCACTCCCAGTGACCAGAAGACATTTTTGGATTTAAAAGATTCCCAAGAGCAGCTCAAAAAGGTCTCCACGCCTGAAGGGCCTGCAGCAGGACAGACGTTTGTTGCTGTTTCCAAGGAAATTGGTGCAGGCAGTGGAGTCCAAACGGTGCGAGCATCCTTGTTTGATAATGTCGTGGAGAGGCACAGCGTGGTGTTGATGGATGATGGCTCATCTGTTGACACGGCCAAGGATTTGCTCAGCAGCACGTCTCCATTCGATAGAACAGTTACTGAATATAACGGGGCTTCAGTCACCGCTAACTACAGCCAGCCTTTATCGCCATCATGTTTTCAACCCATATTACATGCCTTTGACACAGTGCAGGCTGTCGAAAAGAGTCGGGCAGTGAGTGTGAGCGTCCCATCAGCTCAGTGGGAGGATAAAGCCATGACCCTCCGTTCCAGACGCTCAGAAGGGAGCAGGCCTCTTCCAGAATGGACCAGTCCTGCACAAGAACAGCCACCTTTGGCACCTTTGATGCCTCAAACACAGCCACGATATCTGAGGATAGGAGCCTTACAGAAGTGGACCACTACAGGTCTCGACCAAGACGTAGATATGGAGACAGGGATGCTAAAGGAATCACAAAGGGAAGGACAAGTGGCTTTAGATAAAGACAAGGAGAGACAAAGAGTGGCAGAACAGGAAGAAGTGTCTGCAGCACCTAAACGCTTGAAGATGCTGCAGGCAGACGAAATGGCAAAACCCAAGGCAACCTACTTTGCTTTAACCGGACAAATACAGGAGCCAGTTTCTCTTGGGGGTGCAGGGACAAACACTGGGGACATGACTAGCCCCTTTGATGACTTCTTAGGGATTTCTCTCCTTAGTGGCCCTCAAGGGAAGAGTCTTCCAGTAAGGGGGAGCCCGTCTTTAAACGATGATCCTTTTGGAAAAACAACTCCATCGCAAGAGCAAGTTAAAGATTTGATGATAAGAAGCCACAAGTCACCCAGGGAGAGCAGTTTAGCCTCAGATGGACAGAGTAAAGAGGAAAGGCTAGAAGCTGAAAAGAAAAGGGAGCAAAGGAAGGAGAAAGAAAGGCACAGGACTAAGATAAAAGAAATTGAAGGTGAAAAACAGACACAGCTGGAAATGGAGAAACAAGCACATTTAGAATTTACACGAATGAAAGAGTGGGAGATGCAAAGAGAATTTGAAAGGCAAAGACGTAAGTCATTTGAAAAGGAGAAACAAGAATTTGAGGAGAAACGTGCCCTGGAAAGGCAGAAACAGATTGCGATTGAGAAAGCACAAGAATTAGAGGAGAAACAGAGACTTGAAAGAGAGAAGCAAAGGAAACTTGAGAAAGAAAAAAGGCAAGAACTAGAGAGACAAAAGGAGAGACAGCGTGAAAAGGAACAGCAAAAACAAAAGGAGGAAGAGCGGCTAAAACTGCAGCTCGTAGAGCTTCAAAGACAGAAGCAGAGAGAAAAGGAAATGCAGCAGCTAAAAGAAAAAAAGGAAAAAGAAGAGGCAGACAAGATGAGACAGATCGCATTAGAGCAAGAAATGTTAAGAATAAAAGAGCTTGAAAAAGAGCGGGAAAGAGAAAAGGAGATGGAGAAGGAGCGTCAGAAAGAGATACAGAGGGAGCTGGAGAAACGGCGACAACAAGATTTAGAAAGGGAGATACAGAGACAGCTAGACAATGAGCAACAGGAACTGGAGAAGGAAAGGAAGAGGAAGGAGGATGTAGAGAGACTTAAAGAGCTGGAAAGATTACAGCTCTTCGAGTTTGAAAAGCAAAAACAGGCAGAGAGGGAGAGACAACAACTTCAGGAGCTCGAAAAACTGAGGCAACTAGACATTGAGCGACAGAAATTAGAAAACCAGAAGCTGAGACAACAGGAACTGGAGAAGGAAAGGAAGGAGGATGTAGAGAGACTTAAAGAGCTGGAAAGATTACAGCTCCTGGAATTTGAAAAACAAAAACAGGCAGAGAGGGAGAGACAACAACTTCAGGAGCTTGAAAAACTGAGGCAACTAGACATTGAGCGACAGAAATTAGAAAACCAGAAGCTGAGACAACAGGAACTGGAGAAGGAAAGGAAGAGGAAGGAGGATGTAGAGAGACTCAAAGAGCTGGAAAGATTACAGCTCCTGGAATTTGAAAAACAAAAGCAGGCAGCGAGGGAAAGACAACAAATTGCGGAGTTTGAGAAACACAGACTGAGGGAAAAGATGGAAAGGGAGGAAGCAGAACGGATGCGAGTCATAGCCAAGCAACAAGAAGCAGAGAGACAGCGACTAAAAGAGAAGCAGAAAAAAGAGGAGCAAGAGAGGCTAAACTTGGAGCCATCACGTCTGAAACCCAAAATTCTTGATCTGGACTCTGTGCTCAGAAATGAACCAGTGTCTAAGTCTACTTCTCAGCGCAGCGATGCTGCAACCCGCTGGAAGGAGCCTTACAAGCCTAACATTCTTGACATAGACTCCTTTACATCTCAAGCTCAGCTCTCCTCTAATAATGACTTGTTTCCTTCATTGGGAATGCAGGGACTAAATGCTGACTTTGGGGGTAAATTACAGCCTACATCTGAAAGTGACGTTAGCTGGAAGATACCATCACAGACTTCAGTAGGTTTCTCAAACCCAGTATGGACGACGCCTCCTCAGGACCCCTGGGAGCTGCGGTCAGTTGAGATGTCTGTGGACCAGCCTAAGGCTGAATCTAGAAAACACGCCAACAAACACAGTCCAGAACAGCTCCTTCTCGATCATGGGGAACGCATCCCAACTCAACAAAGGCCTTGGTCTGCTTTCCTGGATGAGCCACCCCCTTTGGGCCCTTTTCCTGGTTCAGAGGTTAAAAGTGTGAACTCCCCAGGTGGACTCCCCACCATCACTCCTGCAGAGCAGATCTGGTTGCCCAGAGAGCTACAGCCACAGAAGATCAGGGGAGAAGCACAGGGCCAGAGGAGATCACAGGGGTCCAAGGTGAGTGACATAAATCAATTGATCAGTTCCAGAGGTGCCAATGAACTACCCGCCCCCCTTTCTACCACACTTTATTTAGTGATTATTGTAGAAATCAGGTTGTCATGTTCTTAGTTTGTCAGTGCAGATGGAGTCAGATTATCACACAGAGACATGCAGTCTTGTGAAAATACAGGTCATTTTGTGATATCTTACAGAACAATCTGTTCTTGTAGACGTACAAACCATCTAAAACATAAATATAGCTTCTCATGATGTAGGTGGTATCATATATTCTTCACCCTGTCATTTTAAAAGCTCACCAAGTTCCGAAAGCAAAAGCATACGCAAAATTCTTTTTAATATTGTTTTATTTTTAGCGTGCATTAATTTGTGTGCCATCATTCCCTGATTAAATTGGTTGGAGAAAAGAGGCTCCAGCTGAGTTGCCATATTGTAGTCGAGCTAAGTGACGTAGTGGCTAAATTAGTCTAATTCTTGCTTCTTAATAACTACAACAGGCTGTGTCGCCATCAAGAAAAATGCAAATGAAATTCAAGTGAAAAAAGGAATATTGATTCAGCACTGCTGCTTCTCTTTCATGATTCCTTAGTATTATCCTCATGTCTGCAAGATATCTAAGGAGTACTTAGATTTGATATAAAGTATTTACAACTATAATGTAGTAAGATGCCTCTTGCATCCAGTTAGATTGCAGTGCATCTGTGTCTGTTCAGACTCGTATAATACATGTAGTGAAGACTTTGAAGTAATTAAAGTTAAACGCATTAGGTGTTTGTGACAAAAGGTATTTGTGACTGTGGGGGCAACATTTAACCTTTCACCACTGAATTATTATCACTTGCATTTCTTGAGTCCCATATTTTAGGTGCTCCTGAGATACTGTGTTCACAAGAATGGGTTAAAGCAAAAAAGCTGATTCCTCAGGCCATGTCTAGATCATAATGATGTAGACATGGCCATGCATGCTAATTATTACATTATAAACCATAACATGTTTTGGTTTTAGAAACAAAAATCAATTTGTTGTTAGTTCCAGTTAGCCACACTCCTGTTACCTTGAGGAATTGTGCTTCTGTTTGAGCAAGTGGCGTTGCATTGCTGCATTGGTGTAATAGATACACCAACGTTACAAAAACGTGGCCAAATTACAGTCACACTTCACAAGAAAGTAACAAACTGACACCTAAGCAGTGTTTAAACGTGAGTGGACTGAAGTTCACTTTATTCTGTCCAGCTTCCAGCATGACAATGAGCAGCTTTTTACTGTTATGAGGTGATGCAGTTGGATCGCGGTGTTCACTTTGGGTCCTCTATGCTGCTCAGGAGTTGAACAGATTGCGGTCTCGGAGTGTGTCACGACGATCGGTTCCTGCAGGTAGTGCCGTGGATGGAAGCCCTTCCAGGATGAGGAGTCGCAGCGCCCACAGAGAGCAGGACCTGCAGAGCAGGGTGAGTCAGGCTGCTGCTCATTTTCTGCACCATTTTATTACAAATGACTGTTTTCACTCAGCTCTGTGGAAACAGAGAGCGTAGTATGCGGTGCCTCATGCACTGAAGACTGTATTGGAATGCAGCTTGCTCACTTGACATGAAAATGCTGCTGGCCTCACATAGTAAAGAGCTAGTGACTAATGTTGAAAGCATGGACGTCCTAGACTCACCTCTGCCCATCCCACATTACATTCTAGGGAAGTGGTGCTCAAACACCTTCTCAGGCCTGTACGTCAGGTTTGGATCAGACAAATGATTAAGTAAAGATTTTCACTGCTGATTTATCAGAAACCTGACAGCAGGGCTCAGAGAAACCTGTGAAGTGAAATGGCATGTAATGATTATGTGTTCTGCAGGTATTTGTGTAACCTTGCTACTTGATTTTGATTGGTTAGAAGTTATATTTGGTTATAAACTTGTAGTTCACCTCTGTTTTTATACCACTGTGAATGGAATAGCCTTTGCTGGGAGTGATAATGCTGTCTGTATATGTAGTTGATATTTCTTGGAAGACTTGATGGGATTTGTTCAAAAACAAAAGTTTTTTTTAGTTTCAGGTAGGGCTGCTCAATTAATCGAATTTTAATCACGATTACGATCTGGGCTTTCAACGATCATTAAAAATGACTGAGCCGATTATTAGCCCCTCCCTAATTTATCCGCGACACCTTAAAGGCCGGTCCGTGAAAATATTGTCGGGCATAAACCGGTCCGTGGCGCAAAAAAGGTTGGAGACCGCTGATTAAGAGGACCCGAGGGAAGCTCGGAAAGCTAAGCAGAAGTTATTTGGAGAGTGACTGCCGTTGGTTGAAAAGAGAGTTTAAAAAAAAAAACTTCAGTGGTGTTGCACACTATTTTATATTATTTTTTTAAAGTCATTGTTAACCCTTTAAAGCCGGTCAGAGCAGCACGCTCCGTTTTGTGTAACTATTTTTAAATCCCTGTAGAACCTGAACCGTGTAAGCTAGCGCAATAATTTGTTTTGCATATGAAACCGGAGGAGTTGTACTTACATCTGATGCCATCAGCTTGTCCTCGGTCACGGTTTCGTTCCACATATAGCTTTGCAAAAATTGCATAAAAAGCGCTTGCAGGAACAAAAACATAATATTCCAGAAACACGCTTTGCTGTTCCTATCAGCTGTTCGTAACACTTCCCACAGTGAAATGATGCACCTGCTGTTTTCTTTGCAAATTTGCATCATAGGATTGTTTTTTGTTTTTCCTGCAGTATATAAAAAATGCTGTATCTCCAAAATAAAACTATGAAGACACTCAAAATAAATTTCCTGTGGTGGGAAACTATTTTTTGCAACTTTATTGTATTTAAAGTTTTGAGGGATAAGCCTCTTAAATTTCTCCAAGTAGAAATATATGTAAACAAAACAAAAGCGATTTTCAATTGTTTTTGTAGTTTATTGCACTTTTTTGCAATTTATTTAATTACTATGGACTTAATGCATACATATTATTAAAATATGGGGTATAACAGTTATTTAGCAACTTGAAATGCTCCCACAAATGGCACTACAGCATGTAAAAAAAAAAAATATAAGCTCTGGTGGACTTGGTTCTATAGTAGGTCTTAAAGGGTTAAATAAATATCGTCAAATAATCGTGATCTCAATTTCAGTGAAAATAATCGTGATTATCATTTTTGCCATAATCGAGCAGCCCTAGTTTCAGGGATGCACTTATTGTGATTTTTGGTGATCAAAGGTCTCTTTGACCTCATAAAACACCTTTTTGGCCATAACTCTAGAAATTTTGCCTAATTTGTTTGCTAAATTTAACAAAAATGTCTAGTAAGACAAAATGTTTTGATTTCAAAAGATTGGCGGTGAAATGTGGACAGACATCAATGTAAGCTGCTGCTTGACTGGTTGGTGGAAGCAACTTCAAGGTGGTTATTCCGGTTTTATATTTTTAAACATGTAAACAAATGTGTCTGCATGTTATCGACTCTACAAATTACATGCACACTCATATTATTATTACATTTAAGGGTGGACAGTGTTTATTAACGATACAGGGTTGGGTTCAGGTTGCGCTTTGTCACTGACACTGTAATTGTAGGCTCAGGTTGAAGTACAGTCTGTTGTGCCTTATCATTACACAGGGAGATCAGATTAAGTCACCACAAAGGTCAAGGTCATTACCACCATCTAGTGGTTGTGTTTTAGTTTGCAAGAGTCAAGTGTTCTGGGTATCTGAATTTTTCCTTGTTGCCATTTCCAGTGCTTGTTTGAAAAAAAGCTTTTCAAATGACCCTATGTAAATAAAAAAGTGCACAGATTTACATTTTAGCTCAGACAACTTTACACATAGTAGAAGAACCGCTGAATTAGATTAGATTTTTAAATTGTTGAAAATAGTTCTAAAGAATCGTACAGTCTGAAAGCATTTGTCTCTGTCAGTAGGCCACAGACACTACACAAACCTGCTGCTTGTGTTAATACAGATTTCTAACTAATAATGAGAATATTTGCCATCTGTCGCTGCTCATTTTGTCAGTGAATTGGTGTAAAAGTAAAGCTTTCCAAAAGTAATGAAACGGAATATTACACTGGAATAAGGCTCCAGCTAACAATGTATTCATCATTATTGGCTCTAAAACTCACTGTCATCCAGTTTAATTTCACTTTAGACAAAACGGCATCAAATCAAAAGCTCTGTCATTTTCTTCTTACTCAAAAATAAGAAATGATAATGATAAAATTACACAATTACTCAGTTCTGGATCATTTTTTCCGCTTGTTAATAAATTCAATATTTCTACTCAGTAGTGATATTTTATTCAAGGTAGCAAGAATTCAACATGTCAACATTCAGCATCAGAATATGAGCAGAGCATCATTAACACAAATACTAAGGCTTATATGCAGGAACATGACTTAAAAAAAAAGTATTTAGTAATGATAAAAAAACCCATAGGCAGATTCTTAAATCTAGTTAAGATGTTTAGCATATGTAAAATATCACAGATGGTGTTTAAAGCCAAATATGTGGGCGTTGCTGGACATCTGAAATGACTACTTTCCTCAAATTGTATTCACCATAGACTCAGAGACATGAAATAATAGTAGGGTGGTGACATCACTGGTTTAAGTGTGAGGGTCTGAGGCTGGTGAGTGCAGCAGAGCGGAGATGGGCACCGGGCAGAGAGCTGTGTTGTACATGTGGTCATGTTGTCTCACTCCTTACTGCCTCTGGGTAAGTGACAGCACCACTCATGTTGAATGTGTCTCCATCAGCCGTGCGCGTCTTCTCGTATAGGGCTGTAGGAACTCTTGGTTCATATCATATACAGTAGACTGTATGTACATTAGCCGCATCCTATTTCACCTTCTTCCTGTTGTTGCTGGTTGGGTTCTTGGCTGAGTAAAGACCGATGAGGTCAGAAGAGGGGAAGAGATGAGTCACTTCCTAGCAGATCGTTTTCAGTACTACGATGAGGAATATTTGGTCAAAAAGACATCAATAATATGTTGATTGTTAGATGTTTCATATTTTATTGTATCACTTCCTTGTCTTTAAATCTTTCTTTTAAAACTAATAGTCTGAATAATATCAATCAAGGAAGCTTCAAATATTAGTTGGCTCTGTGTGTTTTTCATTTTAAATTTGCTGGTATGGCCAAAATACTTAATGTAATGCTTTTATCTTGGAGAAATATATAAAAACTATAAATATTATAATTCTATAATTTCTGCTTTTGCTGTGAAGTAAAAAAGGAGATAAAGATAAAGGAGATAAAACTGCAAATTAATTATGTAACTGTAATACTTAATTAATTACTTAAATATTAAGAGAATATTGACTATTAATATTTAAACAACTTAACTATTAGCATTGTGGAAAATAACAAAGTGCAAATACTTTGTTACAGTACTTAAGTAGAATTTTTTTAGGACTCTGTGTACTTGAATAAAGTTGTCTGTTATTTTTCTGACAACGTTTTGCTTTTTAATCCGTAACTTTTGACTTTCTACTCCTTACACTGTCAAAACAGGCTCATTACTTTAGGGGAAAGTCACTGCATGTCCTCACAACATTAAAGTGATTTGAACATAAATAGAGGGAAAAATAATACATAGAAGCCTTGTAAACAATACAAGCGAGCTACTTTTTACACCGAATATATTTCAGAGCTTGTACTTTTTCACTCTTACTTAAGTAAAGTTGAATTGGTGCTTTCACCAGAATATTTTTAACACTATTAGTAGAAGTAGCTGTACTTCTACTTAAGCCACACTTGATTAGCCACTTGTTATCAAGCAGCTAATCAAGGGTTAGCAGCTTGATTAGCCGCTTGTTATCATTAGGTAGCAGGTAGTGGCTACAGCTAATGATAAAATGAAAATGGTACTCAGTATTGAGTATTTTCCTTAGGTGTACATGTAATTTTGAAGATATGGTAATTAAGGTGTGAGGACTAAATATTAATAAAGTATTAAAGGAGATAGAAGGTTAAAGTTTTTTGTTGTTGAAATACTCGTGTGTGGCAGTAAATTGGAGGAGAAAGGTATGTGAGAGTTTCTATGCTATTGAGATCTTTAGCAGAGCACTTCAAAGAATTGTTAATCAGATTACCTGTAGGGGGCACATGTGGACAGAGATCCAGATTTTAGGAACCCCTCTGCCTCAGTTTGCTCCCAGGTTAAGTCTCTGAAGTGTGTCAGAGTGGCCCACTATGTCTTTATTTAAGGTACAAGTTCACTGGCAGAAGGTGGCTGAAGTGAGCAGCATGTGTCAGGAAGTGTTATTCTTTCCTTGTCTGTTGTGGTGTTTGCATGACTCCGACTCTGGGTGAGATTTAAACAAACACTGTGTTGCCTGTTGTGATTGGTGGTTTTGGCCACGTTGCGCAGACAAACTGGTTGATGTGCATACAGTGCAGTCCCACTTGCCTGGAGCCACACCTGTCTTTTGTCTTGTCTCTTTTGTGCCCGTCCAAT